GACATGGCCAGCGCCGCCAAGTATCCCTGGCCATATATGTTCTGGACAATTGTTTACCAATATTAGCTGTATCCCATCTGCAATAACGGCACATAAAAAAAAAAAAAAGAAAAAAAAGCGGGTGAGTCATCAGATTATCACGCATTTAAGAGAACGACAAGTTTTGGGAAGAAATTATAGTATACTTGATCTCGTGAGAAAGGCATAAACGCAGAGTAGGGTGAGTAGGAGATATGAAGAAATTAGCATATTTCAATTGCGATGGAGTTGCTCTCTAGAGGCACATGGGGGAGGAGTGCTGACTGCTGAGATGTGGTGCCGGACTCTTGGAGCTGGACGAACGCTCTGGTTTTAAAGGCGGCAAATTCTGATTGAACACAACATCCTCCTTGATGGCCGAGGACTTGGTTTGGGATACTTTATCTTTTCTTTATTAAGTTTTTAATTTACAGTTTTTTATAGCGAAAAAGAGCAGTATATATGCATTGCTTCGGGGGGGGATTTGCATAATGGCATTCATGTTGTTGTTGATTTTTTTAATGATTATGTCATTTGTTCATCCTCTTAACAGAAAACTGGAATGAATCTTGTGTTATATAAGCATCTGCCTTTCCTTACTTTGCTGGGATATCTACACATCAGATTCACATGGCTCCGCAGGAGTCTGGGACCGCTGTTTTAGGTAAGTGTCCTGGCTGCTGGACTATACGGCAGATACCAAGTTTGAATTCGTGGATCAGTCCGGCATTTGAATTTGTGTCTGATCTTGATTGTCATGCAAAGCAAGGACAAAGGGGATACTGCTTGACTGAAATGCCATAATTTTGTCGCCAACTTTTAGAAACCTTGTACTTGACGATTCGATGTCTCTTCACTTTTCTGCTCTGAGTGGCAGAAATTGGAAGAAACTTGGCCCTTTTCCAGGTCTAGGCTCCGGAGTAAATGCATGCCTCAAGTAATATGGAGTGTATAAAGTGCACTGCTGACTCTGCATGTCCTACTGTTAATTTGTTACTATTTCAAAGTAATAATACTCTGCTAGTTTATCATCAATAAATATGGGTTAATTACATTTACCTCCCTGAGGTTTGACCATATTACCAATCAATCCTGTAATTTGTCCAATAACAGTCTCACGCCTTTGAATGATCAAAGCATTTAACAAAACCCCCTTAATGCCGAAAATGCCCTTATTGAGGCCATGTTGGCATTAAAAAAGAACATATTTTTATTTTTTAACCCTGAAACAATCCAAAAAAATAGAAAAATTTTTTTGCTTATTATTTTATAAAAACCATATCTTTACTTCCATAAATAGTTTTGAATCAATAATTATTTTAAATCTTAAAAATGAATATTAAAAATTAGATAAATTGAAAGAAAAATAAAAAAAAAAGAAATTATTTTAATTACTGGCAGTATGGTTCAAATTGGTAATATGGTCAAACCTCAGGGGAGGTAATATGGTCAAACCCAATAAATAAAGACCAAACTGGGGTCAGACGTGTGCTTGGAACTACTAGTTTGCATCGAAGTTCAGATCAATGAGATCAGGCGATAACAAAGGCCGAGTTTATTTCCACAATAATCTCATTCTTTAAAACTATTCCCAAACTAATGCACTTTCAAAATATATTCCTTTGTTAACCTATTTGTTGCCGACGTGAATTTTTGAGTATGGAAAGTATTCACATTTCTATCTTATATTAAGAGATACAATCCACGTCAATAGATTTTTAATAACATTTCAATAGTTCAAATTTTGCTACTTATGTATAATCTTAAAGATAAATAAAAATACTTCTCTATCTATTATTGAGTTAATTAGTATTTCTCAAATTAGATTGGCTCATATAGCGTGTTAATTTTGATACTAACACTGATCTAGTTATATTTTCTCTCTCCTATTTTTTTGGAATGTATTCTCTTTTGATAAGTCAAAAATGCAAGAGAATTTTTCAAATTTTCTTTCCCCTTATAATGAAATTTTTATAGTTCACGTAAACTATGATTATTATGTATCTTGAAATATTTACTCGTACTTCAAACAATTTGAGTTTTTGCAAACTTCTTAAAATTTACAAAGTTAGGGACTAACATATATATAATTGCAAGTAACAAGAAAAAAAAGAAAGGAACTTGTGATATAATAATCAAGAACAAAGCTAGGGAGGAATAATGGCAGAAAAAAAAAGTTCTTCGACAAAATCATTGCAATTTGGAGGGTGATCAACAATTTTAAAACACTAATTATGGATCCACTTTCCTTTTTTAATTTGTTTACAGAATGCCGTTAAGGCACTAAATAAAGAAAAACTGTGTAATATATAAACAAAAGATTTATATGTTATTTTTTTCCTTTGATATGGAGTCTACATGGCAATAACTAGATTAATAAGAGAATAAAAATTGAAAGAGCGTTACTTTGGGATTATTTTTTGAAAAGTAGATTATTTTAGCCAAAAACTCGAAAGGAGTGTGCCAAAAAAGGGAAAAATATATTAAAAAGGAATTCCTTTTTTTGTTTTTTTGGTGTTTTTGGGTCAGAGGAGGCCTGAACGGCCATTTGTAATGTCACAAACCTTGACCCATGCTATTGTTGCTCGGGCTCTGTTAGTATTTAAGCTATAAATCATTAACTGAAAATCCAGCCCATTCTATCAATGCTGGGATTTCTGAAACCGAACGCCATTTTGTTACTCGTAAATATGGATGCTGCAGAAGGCGGTCCACATAAAATGGGCCTCATGTTAAAGTAGCCCATTTTATTTCATTGGTTTCATTTTCATACACTGCAAAATTCATGTAGAATTTTATGGAAAAGATTTCCTGCATCAGAAAACATCAGAAAAGACTTCCTGCAAATTATAGGATTACTGGACTGGACTTGTATTTACCAACGCAACTTTTGTTAAAGAAAAAAAAATCCTGGATCCTTTGTTTTTCTTTTTTACACGGTTACACCTCTATAATCATATTTTTTGGCGTTTTTCTTTCAAAAGCTTCTGGATCCTTCCCTTCGTACGGTTTCGGCCACCGCAGTCCCGCCCACCTCTATAATCTGTTTTCGTTGTGCACGTAAAGATGGCACTTGTTAATGCACATAGTATTCTCTTATAAACATATTGATAATTAATATATTTTTTATATTTATATACTATTTTCATTTAATTTTACTTATTTATTGTATATTTATCTACCTTTTTTTTATTAATTTTATATTTTCAAAATATAACATTTAAATATATTATGACATCCTGTATGTAGATCAAGCTATTCATATGGAGGTGCATTACTAACACATTAACAGCCAGGGAAGCAATCTTCAGGAGGACAAAACAAGGATCGCCTATCTGTTCAAGGTGTGGAGATAGTATGGAAACGGTTGAACACATTCTATTCCATTGCCAGCAGGCTCAGAGGGTATGGAAGATAGCACCAGTCCAGTGGGATGGAATCCAAAACCAAACAGGATGGCTCTAAGAAGTGGTGGGCAGCATTAAGTCAAGCCACAAGTAGGACTGAAGGAAGATAGCATATTGCCTTGACTGCTAACATACTTTGGCAGTGTGGAAAGATAGAAATGAGATGAAATTTGAAGGAAAGAAAGAGATGGTCTGAAAATTGTATAAAAAGTCAGTTCAGAATGGATGGAATATGAGGAAACTTGAAAAGGAAATGATAAGAAAAGTACATAAAAAACAGATGAAACAATTGGAAGAGCAAGGGAAGGAGGATGGGAGGAGGGAGAGCTGATGGAACTTCAGATTGCTACTAAGAAAGCAACAATGGGACATAAATTGGGAATTGGCATCGTTGCTAAGCAGTCTGGATGGAGGATCAAAGCTGAGTGGACTTTAGTGGAGAGGAGCGCGCACAGGGATATTCAAGATGAAGCTGTAGCAGTAAGATTGGCACTAATGAAAGCAAGACAACAAGGATGGCAAAGAATCAAAGTCATTAGTGCTAACAAGCAACTCATTGCCTGGCTAAAAGCTGGAAAAGGTGATAATCCGAATACTGCTACACTGGTCGAAGACATAAATGTGTTAGTTAATCTGTTTCAAATGTGCTCTTTTGAAGTTAGGAATATTATTAATATGTCTTTAAGTAATCAAATTAGCCATTATGCTCTAAACATACTTATGGATGAGGAGAGATTTTTTGGCTCTCCTTAAGTGTCACGGTACACTTTGTAAAGTTGATTGAGCCGTTGCTCAAATATTCTATAGTTTGAGAATTTATAAAATATCTTCTATCGTTTTCGGGAAAAAAAAAAAGACATCCTTTATGCAAACCATTTAATTATTTATCCAATTAATTCTCCTTGTTTCGCTAAACAAATTTATAGACTAATTTTACAGAAAAAACTGTTTGGATTGCATTTTCATGATTTTTTATGAAAAAATTATTGTAATAATTTAATGTATGTGAGTGAAAAATGTGATAGAGAAATGTGATCACGAAAATGACGTAATTTTTCGCAATCCAAACAAATCTCAGCCAAGCCTGTAATTAGCAGTGATCGACTATACATTCACCTGTAAATCTCTGCCAAGCCCACCGCCAAAATCTCGATTCTTCGGGCTCCCTTCCACCTGAGTCTCCGCAGACTCAACCGTGTGCTCTTTAGGAAGAATATCAAAGTCAAAAAGAAAAAAAACAGCTGAATCACAGTCAAAGAATCATTTGGCTAAAAATGATGGGCATTGAAGCAAAGGTTCGCGAGGCGGCGAGAATCTGCCGGTCTTTCTCTCTGCTCCGACCACCATCGGCACTAACTCCGGGACAGCCTCTGAGATTTTTGTCGGAGAGCAACAACGCAAACAAGAACCCAGTTGTCCAGCAAATGATAGACTACGCACTTCTGTTGGCCGTTCCCAAAAAATCAGGTATTTTTCCATCTTCAATAAGATTTTATCTTTTTATTTTTCCATCTTCAATAAGATTTGAGTGTTATGCTAAAAACATATGGGTATGTGTAGATGAATCAATTCGCAGGGTCTGTTGGTATTGGAGCAGTGCCACTCCACTCAAGCTGCAGATGACGATTCAAAAAGGGATGGTTCTTTTAGCCATGTCTACCCTATTATATGAAAGGTCTTAATTTTTTTGTTTTCTTCTTTACGCCCATTGCTATTTCGAATGACCTTGAAATTCATAGGTTTCTGTTCATGTATATCAGGGGAAACTTTGCTGAAGCCTTTGAGAAACTGCAGAGCATCCAAGATTTGAGCTCGTCTTCTATTGCTATTAGAGGTGGTTAACATGTCTCGGGTGTAGTTACTTAGACCATATTGGTTGCTCCTTTAATTTTGATTGTGGATTGGGTGTTTCAATGCGCTTTACCTTTGTGTTTTGCTGCAGTTGCTGCTACAGAAGCTCTAGTAGGAATCCATCTCGAATTTGGATGAGGCAAGGCGCCCAGAGGACAATTTGCAATTGCTATGTCATCTCAAGTTTAAGTTCATTTTAGGATATTTACGTGCAGGATTCTCCTTGTACAGGATGATGCTTCATCTGTGCTCACAAATATATGGTATAACCTCATGGACGCTATCAAATTAGACATTGGTGGTGGGAGTGGCTTTGATGTTCTGGAAGCCCGTGCAAAGGGTTAAAAGGACTTCTGGAGCTGGTCCGGGGTAATCTTCAAACAGGTCTGCGTATATAGTTTGTTTAATCAATTATCTTCTTCTGTGGCACTCTTGATCAGCTTAGGTCTCTATATTAAGTTACTAAATGCGGCGGAGACATTCTTTTCTAGCAGCTCAGGATGATCTTCTAGTAGCTCAGGATACTGAAGCTTGCACTGGTAAGGTTTTGCCTTCCTAGACACCGTGGTAGTCTCTTGCACTATATTTTATTGATCTGGTGTTATATAGGCAATGTTGCTCTGTCTTATGGTGAATATCTTCATGGCATGCGGAAACTTCCTATTGCAAAGGAATTATACCAGAAAGTGATTCAGCAGTTGTCGGAGAGAGATTTTAACGACCTGCATAATATTGGGGCATGTAACATGTCAAAGGATGAGGTTTACTTAGCAGCTACATGTGCATTAGGGCAGCTTGAGGCTCATTTAGGGTAAGCACATTTTTTATTGCCCGTTAATATTCATCTGACGGTGTCCTTCAAGGCATTGATTCTTGAGTTGTTTTTTTAGAAATTTTGGTGATGCTGAGGAGATTCTTACTGCAGCACTGAAGAAAGCAGAACAACATTTTGGTAATTTTACTTTCATTTCATTTAACATGGAATTACAGTCGAGATTTGATGCTACATAATGTTTATGCTTAATTGGTCTAGGGTCCAATCATCCCAAAGTTGGTGTTATTTTAACCTGCATAGCTCTCATGTATCGCTTGAAAGCAACAACAGAAGGCTCAAGTTCTCTTCTAATTCAAGAGGTAAGAAATTGCTGTTCAGGATGACATTTGCAACTTTCCCAAGTTAATTGTCTCCTCTCCTCCTTATTGCTGTTAATCCTCTTTGAATATAGTATGTAATGTTTTCCGGCAACTAATATACTACATGTTTCAACGCATTCATTTATAAGAACTCAATAAAGTGACTGCGTGGAGCAAGTTGACTTCAAAATGAATACTCAATTACTTTCATATTGGTTGCTGTGATATTTTACTGAAGACAAAATCAATATTTTTGCTGTAGTGGGTTACTGGCAGTGGACTTTTTACTTTTCAGATCTTATTATGCATGGACATGCTTCTGTGATGTTGATGGATACTGATACTATTGCAGTTGATTAGTTTATTCACGCCATTAGTTCTCTCAATAGCTTCTCTAGTTCATCCTGCAGGGACTTTATAGAAAGGCAATAGAACTGCTTAGAGCTCCACCATTGGACAGTGATGGTATGCAGATCAATTTGCCCATTTTGTTTTTAAACTTCCCTTTGTGAAGATTGGCTAGCATTTGATTGATTGCCTATGCCTTTTTATGCTTTTTGGTGTCCCATAGGCGCTGAAGGAAAAGTATATAGAAGGGAAATGGTTGCCCTTGCCAGAGGTACGATTTAAAGTTCGAACTTGCGAGTTGCGACTGGGATAGATTTCTAAACGGCCAGTATTTTTTTTTTTTTTTCGGGGTCTATCTTGGAGCATTATATTTTTGTATTGGTTGTTTAGGTGGCTATGCAGAAATACTGTGTGTTCAACAGAACAGAAAAGCAGAAGGCGAAAAAATGAGGCGCTGGCAGAAGCTGTATGGAAAAATCGCAGGCTTTCACTAGCTGAGGTGCTAGACATATCTGAGAATTCTACCAAACGTACCTGTTATAGATGCTAGAATATGCAGGTCTGTATAATTTTCCCAAGAGATAGCTGATTTTGCTGTCAGAAATTTGAAATTTGTAGTGACAACGCTAAGGGTGTAACAATTTCTAATTTGCGCACCTTATGTAACTAACTTATCCACATGTTTTTGCAGAGGTCTGTAGTGACTGAATAATATTGTACAAGCTTTCCCAGATGCTGTTAAGATCTTTTAAATTCCATTGCTAAGTATATCAGTGCGTTTTTCGGCATGTTGGATGTACTGAGTGCGTCCGCCGTCCGATGAAAATTGCTTCATGTTCTACTCCAACTCATTGTTGAGCTGTTTGGTTACCATTTTTTATTTTGAAATGGAGGATTTCTTGTTAAGAGTTAAATGTGGTAAGATCAAGGAAGTTAAAAATTATGTAGCGCAATATCAGTTACATAAACCAAACTGCAAAATAAAATATGCTTCAAGGATTTAAGAAGATCTGGCTCTGCACAGCTGAAAGTGTGTTGCGCAACCATAAAAATAGAGAAAACAATACATGGCGGAATTGTTCAGTGACAACTGACAATCACAGGGGGAGATCAAGACCCTTGCCAACTTCTACGCCAATTATCTGAAGTATTCCCTTGTTCAGAATCTGAAAACCAAACCAGCAGTGGTTAACCCTATGGAATTTGCCAAGGAAACGTGGATGGAGTATGCAAAATGAAGAAAAACGTACCAGATTCAACGATGAAGATGCCAATAAGACCAACCATGCAAGTCCTGGAGTTCCATATTTCAGCAGTCCTAGTGAACCCCAGAAATGTGGGGCTGAAATTTTGGAACTTCTTTCGGCAGTTCCACCTGAAGATTGATATAAAGTTTCAATGGTCATTTTCCTTAATGACTAAAAAAAGAAAAGAATGGATTAACATTGAAAGTGTGAAATCAAACCCAAGAAGGTGAGACTAAGAAAACTGGAAAGGAATTTGAGCAGTACGTACTCCAGCAGGAAGCTTTGCAGCTTGAACCTTGAAAACCAGCCGCTTCTGACTCCGGGAGGAGTTCTGAGGGTTGGATTATTGTGGAGAAAGTAAAGTTGGTGATTCTGAGTTTGATGGAGTGATGCGATGGCGGGGAGTGGGAGGAAAGAAGAAGAAATTGCCGGCGACGCAGCCATTGCCTGGTGGCTGGTTACGCTTCCAACCTTAGCCATTGATATATCTTCTTCTTCTTCGTCGGCGGCTTATCTACACTCTTCCACGTGGCGCCTGTTTTCGGGTGTGGTGGGTCCGGGTTCTATTTCATTGTGCGTTTGCGTGTCGCGGCCCCATCTCTATACGTGTATCACTTGGCAGCCTCGAATTGTTTTTTCACCCGTTATGCTTTCTGGGGCAAATGCAGTACGCACGTACCGCCCCTGCTTCAAAGTTCAAACTGGAGTAATGCACTGCACTACTTTTTTTAAGCGCTGCATGCAGGCGTAAGAATTCGATCGATCACCTATCTATAACTCTGACAGGGAAATTTTAAATCCCTTCTTCTTGATGATTAACTTACCGAAAAGAAAATCTGATTCCACGCAAAATACAAATAGCAGAACTGGTTTTATTTCCTCAAATGCACTGTCCAAATCTTGGTTATATTACTTAAAAACGCTCTCGACACAATTGTTCTATCCATTCCAGCCTTGATTATTTTCTTGTCTAAATTCCCATCAGCGGCATTTTCTTGTCTTTATTTTTGTTTGAGCACTGCAACCATCCGTTTCCTCAGGCGTTCTTTATACAGCAATCTCTTGGACAGTTTTCCAAATGTGATTCTTACTCTAAATTTTGCTGCTATATAAATGCATAATTTCTAATAAAATTCTACTTATTACATAATCATACAAAGATTTCCGGAAGACTGCATACCCATTTGGGTAAGTGGAAGACTGCAAATCCATGTTTGGGCTATTGCAGAATATCTTCAACTGAAAAAAAAAATCATTATGAATTCTGGCAAAAGATTTGCCCTCCGAATGATGAATTTGAACAAGTGCTTTCTTACTGGTTATAGAACATTTGAACGTCTTAACACCACAAACAAATTCTACTTATTTGGTCGTTTATGATTTTATTACGTCAACAGTAAGACGTCAAGGAATGATCAATTTCAGACACCGCCCTCTTCTTGTTCTCTCTTCCTCTTTTTTGTCGATCCTCCGAAGTAATTTATGTCCGGGCTCTTAATTGTTAACAAGAAGGAATGATCAATTTGGCAGTCACAGAAATCACAGCAAGAATGCGCCCAAGACAGTCACGGGACTGGAAGGACAATTAATGCAGCTAATCTTCTTAGCAGAAGTACTAGTGTGGCATAAATCCATCATCATCTTACAGCACTTGATTAAATCATCCTGCATTCCATGAAAAATAGAATTTCGATTAGCGTTGTGCTGTTTGGTCCTAGAGCAGAGCAGACCAAAGAGCCCCAGAAGAAAAGATAGTACCTTTTGATCTGGAGGGATGAGGACGCTGAAATGGGAGCACAGAGAGTCATTTATTGTTGACAGAAACTCTTTGGAAATCCGTTGTATGGCAGACACGGCAATAATACAGGGCCGAAACTCCAAGAAGCTAGAATCTGAACGATGAACCATGATTTTCATAGCTAATAAGTTCGGTCTCATCAAGCTTATTGGTATTAGCGTAGTGGGATTTATGTTGCATGCGAAGAAACTTGTATGACCAGAGGCTGTTAATAAAAACCCTAAAGAAATCCATCTATTTTGTACGTGGAATTAATTCAATAAGAATGTGAACTAAAAGGGGGGACAAGATTCTGAATTGCAGCTTCAATTCTCACCTAAAAGTGCCTTGACCAAAAGCTCGGTGATCAGCTCCTGGACGAAGTGTCTGTTCAGGGGATCAATGCTCCGCGTCAACAATTCTAGGTACGAATATGACGTGGTTGGACAAAGCCGCCATTCTAAAGCTTTTAAAAGAATCAATTCCATCCGTTGGATTAAGCTTGATTCAAAGGAATGCTCAAGACCCTCCGTCTACCAAAAGTACCAACCAAACAATTGTGGAAAAAAAAAAAAAAACTATTGCAACGTAAGAGTCATATCAAGTGGTATTACAAAGATTAAGTACTGCAAGAATATATAAAAGAAAGAGATACCACTTGAAAAAAAAACCTGGATTTCATTCAATACATTAGGGGCGTTGGTTTCGAACTTGAAAGCAATAGATAGGCATGCAACAGACACTAGCTCAAACATCCAATCATTCCGAACCTGCAAATTGTGAAGTGTTATGAATTGCAGCAACGAAGCGGAAGCCAGCCATTGAACTACTCAAGATTAGTGCGACATAGTAAATAAAGGGCTATAAGAAAGATTAATATTGGATTTGCATTTCTCACTTGGCAATCTTTGAGAGAACCGAACCGATCAAGGTAATTTGCGGCCCTGAAGACAGTTTCAAGGGAGAGATTCAGCCGCCTTTGAGACTCCAAGATTTAAAACCAAATCGAGTCAGGCAAAAAGGAAGGACACATCCAATAGTTCACTTAAATTACGAAAATTTTAAAAGATACAATCATCGTAGATTCATATTTCATGGTAGTATAGCGAGTATATGCGAAAATGCTGTGGTGAAATAAGGAATGAAACTTTTTTAAAGTTTCAGAAAGAATTATACTTACTTCAACAAACCAGTGTATCGCTTTAAACCTACCACTGTCTGTCGAACAGTTTTCTTTGACTAGCTTCAAATAACCTCGTTCAGGCATGTAAAAAGCCTCCTTTTCAAGAAAACTAATGAAAGCCCGCTGACAGTCTTCGGAGTTGGAGTACAAGGATGTAGTACTAGTAGAATGATGGCCGCAGTTTACATTGTAATATTCAAGTGCTTCATTTGCATGTACCTCATCATGATCCAGGACAGGACTCATCATAAGCCAAACCTCGTTGCACAGCAGACTCTCCATCATTCACTTTGGAGATTACAATTCAATGATCGGAACCGACTGACTAGCTATCTATCATATAATGGTAGCTTTGTCCTTGTGCTTGCAAGTTGGAGCAGCATGCAAACAAGGGAACTTGGGAGGCAGGTTACCGGACAAGAGTCGAAGGTTTGTTATATAGGGAGGGATTTAGGGCTGATGCCTGTTGGTGGAGGTCTTTGTTCGGCTTCGGAATCGTAGGGGATTAAGAAACCTACGGTGTTTAATGTACTCTAGTGCTGATTTACTGGTACTGGGCAGTTACCAAGCTGTAACAAGATGGCGATTGGCGAAGAAAGATCATGAGACATAAAAAAGAGGACACGTCCCTCATGAAATGGGGTAAATGCGCTTAGACATTTGTGGTGCAGAGGTTTTTTGACTGCAGTAACCAATTGCGTGACCACACGAGGATAGTCCGGTTCTCCATCTGTTTATTAGCTTTTCATAGGAGTGGAGGAGATTTGGTTGTGCCTGGATTCTTTCTGGATCGGGATGCTTTTCCAATCTACTGGGCTTCAGGTTTCTCTTGCACTGTTGCATTTAGTGACCAACGTATGGGTCTGTCAAAACCACTCTTGAGTTTTCCGTGCCGCCATGGGGACAACTCAGGAGAATATGCGTTCCCTTTTCAGCCGTGTGAAAGTACGTTAAGTGTCTCAACCAACTATTTAGTACCCGTTCTTTTTAGTATGTTTTAAGGAATAACACAATGTAGTAGAGCTCTGTTCCACAGATATTGTATCCTTCGTGCTTTGCATTTGCTGATTTTAATGAAATATGATCACATTTAAATGACTTGTCAACCCTGTCGTTCCCAACGGTCAGCCAAATCTAAGCAACTCGATTAAGTACAACAGCTAAATAGCACATTTGGCAGCTGATGCAATTTTCAGGCTCATTCACCAATAGGACCTCTAATTAACACGGCACAGACTTTTTCCCCAATAACAGATGCACGAAAATTCATATGCGCTTGGTAAATATTTGATTCTTCACCCTTAACTATGGAACACCAACTTTTGATCTTACAACTAGTTGTCTAGATTTATCCAACCGGAAATTTAACCAAGTACTGGAAAAAATAGGCCAAACCTTGCCAAGTATACGATAAGCAGAAGTACATTGCAAAAGGAAGAATCAGGTGTAGAATAAATATTTCAACAAACACGAAATGAAAAGTATCAGGTAGAAAACCTTTTGTCATTTAACCCTGCATGGTTGCAAGCCTACTCAGAAATTAATCACAGACAGACCAATGACAAGAGCGTGTTAACAAATTTACTCTACTAACTAGTGATTATTTTGTGAACCAGTAGACCTTAGGGATCCACAGTCAAACAGATAAATACATCTCCTCAACTGACCTAACTATACAACTTACAAGAAGCATGAGTCCCGATATCTCCACCCTAGAATTTGAGGGACTGCTCAGAAAAGCACCATGGCAACCATATATCTCCAGCAAAATAATGAAGCAAAAACCTTCATATCTTTCAGAAAAAACAGGTGTTGAAGTTATTGCAACTCGTACGAGGAAAAACTGAATCCTGATCTGCCCTCGTTAATGGACTTCAATTCCAACTTCTGGAAAGGACTGCCAGAAAAGTTCAATACAGGAAATAATAAATTGGTAATGTTCCGTTAGAATGGCCAGGAGAACTATCATTGTTCTACATGAAAGAGTCTTGACTAGTTATCTATTCAGGTTTCCTTCCCACTGAAACCTTTAACTAAAATATACCGCCTGTTGTTTGTCTCCATATTTCTGCACATTTAGACTCCCTACCTAAAAGAGCGATAAGGTCCCACTTACATCTCACAACTACTAATAATAATAATAATAATAATAATAAAGCATGCTTTTATGTAATTGAAAAGACAGAACATGTTAATGGAACATTGTTTGAGTGCAAAAATGACTACAATTATATCTGTCTGTACGTTGCTTAGGGAGTAAACCCCAAAAGGTGGGCTTTTTTGAAAATAATTCCTATAAGGTGGTGTCTTTCAAACCTCTTTCCCAAGGGTGAAAAACACATTAGTGAATGCGATGTTTCCTTAAAAAGCGCATTCTGTGAATGTATTCTTTATTTGTGTATTCATTTTTCCCTTAAAAGATGCATTGACTGAATGCGTTGTTTCAGAAGTCTCACTATTTGGAAACTCTTTGAAAAGTATCGCTATTTGGAAATTTATCGCTGTTTAGGTACATAGAAATACAGGCCCATCTAAGAAAAATCTTAAATCCAGAATTCCTGCCTCCTATTGCCCTTCCCTCTAAGAAATGGAAAATAAATAGCCCACACCTTGTTTAATGTATATTTCGAGGAGATAAGAAATCATATTACATAAATATTTCAACATAAATCATAGCTATTTCAAATTTCTCTCATTTCAGAATTCCTCCATGTCATTGACAATAACATACATGGCTTTTAGACTCACAATGACCTTTCTTTCATTCATTCTTTTTCTTTTTATTCATCAAACAAAGACAAGAAATAGTATTGCAAGAAGCTAATGCTTGTCAATAGAAAGATCACATACAGAAAGCAATGCTTTTTGAGCCAATCTAATATCTAAAAACGCTGCCACTAGATTGATTATCAAGGTTATAATCACAATTAGAATTGATTATAATCACAATTAGCCTATTGGAATTTGAGAAATATGAGTACTGGAAAAACAAAACATCGCTTTACCAACAATAACTTTCTAACCACCAGCAAAATCGAAAAATTAGGTACCTGCTGTTAGGATCATAGTAGAAGCCACTAACAGACCCATCACTGCAGGAGAAACAAACATAGTAAAAACCAGCAATTGTAAGTCCACAGTCCGTTCCAACATTCACAAAGTACTGCTCTTTCCATCTCTACAACCAAAAGTTGAAAAATCAAATCTTATAAGAAATGCCATAATTAAGCGTGATCAAAAACTGGAACAGATAAATGGTTTTTATTACCATAAATATGTATGGATAGTTACTCAAATCCAAAGATTTCCCGCCATCAGTTTCCACTTGGCTCTGGAAAAAGCTAAACAAAGTCAACATTATAAAATTTGAGCACAACGGATAACTTTTGGATGCTCACCTGAAGGGGAGAGAAAGATGGGAATTTGGTCCAGTGCTTTATGTCATCATCTGAACTGTTCATGGTTTAACAAACTAATTAGGCAAGTTAAATTTTACTCCAAGCATCATTTTATTCCTAAAATAGACACAACTTTTATCAATCAAATTAATCCTGATGTTTAATGAGTGCAAGAACATACGTCGCACCCCACTTGTTAGTGAAAAAAGTATAGTTCTTGGTATCAACAATCTCGCCTTCCCAGAAAGTAATCACCTGTGGCACATCAAAAACAAGAACAAAATTGAAAACTACGTAATCACATCCTGACAAATAGTTTATATTCAATTTGTCTGTTTCCCAAGAACAAAAACTGCGTTCAGATAGATAAACTAGAAGGGGAAGAGTTTAAAAAAAAAAAATGAAGGAGCTCTTTTCCTATTTCCCATGATGCATGATAATTTGGTAGATAAAAGTAGACATATTACTTTGTTTACTTTCTCGTCCCATTTTTTGGGTTACATTAATTAGTTATATTCCACAAAATGTGGATGGTCAACTTTTTGCATATGCAGACCTGTAGCATTTAAAGAAACAGGTAAGTTACTAATAGAACAATTCATTGTCAGAATAGTACAGTTGACAAGTCGAATCATCATTCAATAAATGATTCAGGATCAGAGAGGAGAAGGGGAGGGGAGGGGAGTCACAGGATAAAGAGTTAAAGGAAGCCGTATTGGACTGAATCATGATCGAGTGAACATCGAATCTCTAGTCGTATAAACTCTCAATTACAGGCTTTGCGCAATTCCATTGGGTTGGGGGGGGGGGGGTTGGTAAACCTCCCCTATATGCAGGGACAAGCTTTTCTTTCAAGCAAGTAGTTGTCAATTATCAGGCCAATATCATCGCAGCAAGAATATACAAATAGCACCAGTTAGAAAGAAGCAACACAAGAACAACATAAAAGCTAGCATGGGTTAGCTTATCCTCATAAAGGAAATGGAGAAGACCGGAGTGATAGAGAACATACTTAATGTGTTGGATTTCATGCGATCTGAACAATCATAATGTAGGACCATCTCCACACAAAAAATTATAATTTTTCATACATTAGCTTGAAACAGCATCAATACTTCATGTTCTAAGAAAATCATGCTTATTTTCCCAAAGGTGAAAATACTATTTTACAACAGTAAGAAATATACATGACATATAACAAATGAAAAAAGTTAGATACTGCATGAAACATATGATATGCAAGTTACATAGGAAACCAAAAGATCAAGGAACCATAAAGGTGAAATTCATTAAGAACGGCTTCTTACTGGTGTGTCTGCCATAGGAACATTAAGGGCCTCCATTGTGCCACATAAATACCCATGATCAAGGTCACAACCCAGAATTCGAACATTTACTCTCCAAGCTTCATCCTTCTGTAGGCTTGAGACATTCTGCGTCCCAGAGAAAGCCTGCAGTAGCTTATAGACAAACATGCTTAGAACTGGGAAATCTATTACACGTATCAATACTTGTTCAATTGCATCTCCAACATGCTGTCAAGTCTGGAGTGCAATTATCAGGCATATAGAATCATGCGATCAAACATTTATTCAAGGTAATTTTGTTACAATGTTCTGTCATCTGTAGACATCAAAGATGCAATTAAATTTGTTTCTGTTCCTCGAGAGAAAAATCAGAAAACCACAAAAACATAAATACAATAACACCATTGAAGGCTAGAAGTTCCTATGGATCCTATTAGCTTTCAGGGAGTGGAGGCAATGAATAACCAAGATTTTCCCGCCCTTGCAACATTGTCTATCCCATCTCCTACACATTCCACCCCAGATCCACAAATGATGAAAATTTGCAAGCCATATAAGATAGCCTCAAGTTCTTTCTGGATTCCACTTCTATAAGTCAAGCATCTGCCAAATCATTCCCTATTTTCCCTCTTTTCTGACCAGAAAAGAAAATTTCAATGGCACCATGTGGGCTAACTTTTTTATACATTGATTAAAAGATATACAATCATGAGTGTACTAGTAACACACTTTAATTGGAGAAACGATGGGGGACAAATGAGGAGTAGAATAACTTCATACATATGAACCCAGCATAACTTCCCATAAACAGCAAACTCCAAAAGCATTCAAAATGCAACATATCAGCTGTGAAGAACTGTGATTTCCACATATATACCAGAAAAGAGAGCAGCGATTTACCTGGCCAACACTCAGTAGGGTACAAGGTGGAAGTGTAGTATTTCCTGCATTATCATCTTTAATTCCCGAAAAGAAAGAAAAATTATTACCACGAGAACAACGTACACATCAGATAGTAGTTATTCACAGGTAAATTGAACGATAAGTATAAAGAGTTATCCAAACGATGCAAACCGTTTTCCGCTTTCTTGCTTGTAGCTTCGTTATCTTTCCATTCATACATAAATAGAAATGAGGAGCATGTAAATTTATTGTCAATTTGCCTCAATCAATCGAGATAACATAATCAACTGAAAACGGTAACGATCAACCAGTGTGGTTCAAGGATTAAAAGTAGTTTAGGTGAAATTACAGTAAAAGATAGAAATTACCCGATACTTGGGACGGCATAGAAGACTCGGGCACTCTCACCGGCATTTTCTGCAGCTATTGGAGGGCTCAATGAAATTAGCACTACAATTACCAGTATTAAGCAGCTCTGAATCCGCTTACAAGAAGAGATGAGGAAACCTTCTTATCTTAGGATTAAACTGGGGATTAAATGGCGTTCCCAAACAAAAATGCACTAAGCCGCCCCAACTGTACGCCGAGTTACAGTTTACCCCGAACTTTCTTTTTATGGGCGATTTGCCCCTCTCATGATATGTCGTGACAATAACACCCCTTCTTCCTAATTATATTTTTATTTTCTTTCCATATCACATTCTTTTTAGTTTCTTCTATTTTCTTTTTTCCTTCTTTATCTCCCATGCTATTATTATTTGTATACATTGAATAAAATATACCTCGAACAAGATATTTAATTTTGTTTAAATATGTATTCTAGATTAATGGTAGATTGTTCATGTATTAGTTTTCAACGTCAATAATTCATAAGAGTACAACTCCTTTTTTTTTTTTTACGTTTCGAAGCCAATTTGATGTAAGAAGTTGAATTACTTAAATATATATATGAAAGAAAAGGAGCTATTAATCGATCAATTGTCAGTGGTAGAAAATGTCAAGTCACCGGGGCTGAATCCATGCCCTGCAATTCAGGGGCAGCATTTTGATTTTGTCACTCGAAAAAGCCATTAACGTTTTCTTCATTAACAATAACAATGCAGAAGGATCATCGGGAAAGACTAGCCATATTGGATTAGATTGACATTAATAGAGTATTTCTCATGAATCCGTTTCTCTTATACTAGTGATTAAAACTCTCATCTTAACTGCTAGAATCCCATATCAAGGTGAAATTCTGTTGGCGAGTCCTCATGATGACTCGCACGACAAGATGCAGTTCTCGTGCTTAAATATACAGCTCAGGCTAACTAGGACTTCGGCAATGGCAGCTTCGGTCTTCTCTTTATCCGAAAAATGCAAGGTTTGTAATAACAAGACTGTAGGTTTTAAATCGAACTTCATCTTCTCTGGATTTCTCTCTAGATGCCATTGCACCGTGTCATGTGCCATTGGCGCTAGCCACCCCATTATGCCTCTCAAGGCCTCTCTCCACCCCACTGCCAGTAATTGATCATCCTCTGTACCTTTCACATTCTTGCTCAGCTTTGATTTCACCAACGACTTAACATTCTCCGGCAACATTTGATACAAAGATTCTCGTGTCTCAGGGTCTAATGATTCGGCTGAATCCAAGCACTTTTCTGCCAATAAAATCACATTTGCATAGCGCAATGCAAGCCCTGAGCCACCCACAGTTGAAGGCCCTGCTGCATGAAACACCCTGTTACTTCTGGAAACTTTTCTATCTCCCAAATCATCATCTTCGTCCAAGAAGAAAACTGATTTGCGGCTGTAAAACCTGACCATTCTCAACTTAGAGTTTGAGCGGTGGGAATTGGTCCGGAGTGTGAATGTATCTGTTCATTCATCAGCTGAGCAATGATACAACACTGGGCCGGCGAATCTTTGAGAATTTCTTTCTGATGGGATGGCCTCAGGTTCCCCAACGAAACTGATGAAAGAACCGGAACGTAGGGGCCGAACACAACATAAAGCCGGGCATATACGAAGCATACAACGCGGGCCATCAGGTGAACACTCTTATCAAACGTCTGGCTCCACAAGGAGACCTCTCTCAAATGGTGAACCTGCTTCCTCTGCTTTCCAGTTTTTCTTTGAAAAGCTGGAAATTTGGCTTGCCTTGCATGGATGGCCCCTTGTGCTTCCATTGACCCAGCTTCCTCTCGGAGATTTCCAATTCCGCAAGAGCATCCAACGACGAGTACAAACTCGCAGTGGCAGCGATCAACTTCTCCATCTTCTGAACCTTCTTCTCAACGTGTTTCGACCCGTGCCCCAGCTTCCACAAATCAACGATGCCCAGCTTGAGTTCGTTGTAAACGAGGTCGAACCGTTTCAACCCGAAGTCCCTGCATTTCTGGCCCAATTGAGCCACGGCAGTTGCAGTTTTATCGAGATCTTCAAGCCTCTCTGCGCAAGCAAGGCCGAAAAGAAGGCCTTCATCCATAGAATTCAAATACGCAATCCCCTGAGATGTGATTACCTCACGTGCAAGCCTGGAAATCTGGTCATGAGAAAGGGATTTATACAAGGAGACTAATTTGGACATGGTCTTTGCGGTCTCGAACGCGAGGATTCCTAATTGGTTAGATTTCTGCACATCGTCACCATGTTTTCGAGCGCTCAACTCCAAGAGCCAACCCATGGTTTTGAGAGCAACCGTTTGACGACAGGGGCGATGTATCTGATATTACTAGTTATTTGATTTGGTTCTTTTTCGAATGGCGGGGTGAGTTACTTCTGAGTGATGAGATTGAGGATTGAATTAGCGGGTTATTTAAGGAGGAAGACTGGTCTTCAATGCAGGCGTGAGGGTGACGCCTTTGTTTCCTTTTGGCACAGTTGTGGGAAACTCTGTTTTAAAACTCGGACCGGACCAGGTAGTCGGTCCGAGTCATATTAAAAAACCGGAAATTTAAAACCCGGTCAAAATCGGTCAAAAATCAGGTTTGATCGGGAAAAAATCGATTTTCCCGGTTCAATAGTAATTTTTTTTAGAAAAATCAAATTTTTTAATATTATGTTTTGACTCCCTAAATTGTTAAAACTTATTGATATACCTCAAATATTTGATACTTTATAAATATTGTCCTAAAATTTGATGTTATTTTTCAATTAAATTCATAATTTTAATTCTAAACTTGTTAATATTTATTAAATAATATAAATTGCTACTTGATTGTTCTAATTTCTTTGTATTTTCTTGTTAAATATATTTGAAACATCAAATATATATGAATATATCTTTATTAATATCAATATATTATTAGATATTATATATATAATATTTTAATTTTTAAATAATTTTTATTGATGACGTCATCCGGTTCGACCCCCTATCGATCCCCGATGGAACTCATTGACCCCTAATTTCGGCCGAGTCACTATCCGGCCCGGTTCTAAAAACATAGGTGGGAAAAAAAGAGGCAGAGAGAGCCGGGAAGAAGGGGGTGTATCCTGTTAGGAACTTTACGGGCGGGTGCCCAAGGAAACAGGGGAAAATGGTGGTGTGGATTTGAAGGAGGTTCAGACTTCAGGGGTTGACCACCGATTGCCGCGTCAGCAGAATCTCGTTACAGTCAGTTGGAACTCAAGACTCTGCATTTCCCTTGTTCCGAGTGATTATTTCACATTGCATATAATTCAAGCGTCCACACAAGTGATAAGTGCAATGGATGGATCCTCTGTGTCTAATTTTTTTCCTTGTCCAATCTTTGGACAGCTCAATTTTGTCAAATAATTTTTGACTTACGCCATAAACACATATTTTTTAAATTTATTATTTATATTTTTAATTATTTTTTAATTTTATATATATTACATCACAAAAAATATAATAATAATTATTTTAAATAATACTCTATTCAAACGCTCTCACTATTATTTATTATTTATTTGTGGGCCAGTCTATTTACTAGGTCTCAATCCAATGCTCTGGTTTTTTGTAACTTCAGGTGTCTTTTAAATTCAATTTTCTTTCCAAGTGTCTTAGTCAGCTACCAGACCTTCAATTTCCAGATTCAAATCAGGATACCGTGTCAATTGATTTTACTTAGTGTCTGCGCTGTTTGATTCCACGGCCGGTGCGCGTTGAACGTTTCTAGATATATCTCGCCCCTCAAATTATTGTGACAGGTGTCTCCAAGCACGACGAGAAACATTATCGCGTCCATTCATTGAAGCCGACTGGTGACAACTTCGCCGATGAATTTTTGACTTCATATGATGCTTTTGCTTTAGACTCGACGTTTGTCATGGGTCGTCCCATTTCCCTCCTAATTCGTGTCGAAAGGAAATATTACTCCTGCTTGACTCGGCCAATCGCCCCACATGAATGGTCTAGCGATAGCGCCTTTCACCGGTGATTCTTAAGATACCAAGTTCGAGTTTTCACTCTGCTGGATTCCTCCGCGCACTTATCGCGTTCGGGTCTGATTGGGGTGCCAGATCCGGGCCACAGAGAATTAGTCGGACCTCGTAAGGATTGATCCGGACACCCCTGTGTCGACAAAAAAAAAAAGAAAGACTCGGCCAATCAAAAGAGTTACGCAATGGCCCGATCAAAGTTTTTTTTTTTTTTAATTTTTGAAGGACCGATCAAAGTAGGTCCATGACGGTGGACCAGGGTTTAACAGGCCAAAAATGCTGCAGGGAAATTCCCAAGAAAGTTGAAGCTTTGAACATTTCAAAGATCCTTTCCTTTGTTTTTTTTTTTTTTCTCTCATTTTAAAGAGCATGTGCTTTGGTTCTAACTTCTAAAGTTGTACTCCCACTTATTTTGAGGCGCATGAAAAAAACGTGTTCCTTTTTCCTGCTCTTTTTTCACAATCGGGAAGCAATATGAATCTGTCAAATACTACTATATCCGCGAGTTCTCTTGGACAGAATCAAATCTTCAATCCTTACAATTTTGAAGTGTGACCTAGACTTTCACAACTTGCTAAAAATGAGCCTAACCTATAAAAATTTTCCGTGGAACATTAATAAATAGGGGTAATCTGGAACCTGGACTTCAATTGCGTTGGATGTACATGTAGCAAGCCCAAAGACGACGAAGGAAGGGCGGAAGAGGGACTGGATTTTCATTTTGCGAATAATCTGTCGGAGCTTAAGGGCTCGTCAGTTGTCAATGAACCAGTCTTGGTGGATACATTATTACGTATATTTGATCCTTTAGTTAAAACTTAAAAATCGACTGAGCTTCGCAGCGTAAATCATATCTTGCAAAGGTTGAGGGCAAATACTCTTTATGACTGGCTTTCTTCCCACGATTAATAGAAAAAATAAAAATTGATTGTCTTATCTTATAGTGCTGTATTCTGAGAAGTACAAATTTTTTCTTGGGTCATGAAGGTGTAAGTAGTAAGAGGCTTTTTGTAGAAGCCTCAAATGGGCACCCAACAATGTAAGGTTGGGCCATTAGACAAAAGTCCACTTTATGGGTACAATGCCGTTTTAGTTCGACATAGTCCATACCTATATATGTGTGAAACCATAATTTGAACCGAAATAGGATCAGAATTGAAGGTTCAAGAACCGTAATCGTAACGATTCCTGTAAA